TAAATCTGACACTTATCCGGGATTACCCAGGATCAAGTGAAAATAGTGTAAATCATTGCAATCCCTTTCCTTTTAGTGATAACCATATGTTGAATCTTACTATAATCTCTCTTGAATTAATCAGCTATGTTATTCAAATAACAATAACTTTTCTTTGTTGTTTTATTTTTTTACAGCTATTCCCAGCCAGTAGATTCAATACTTGCATGAAGGGAGGGTTTTGAGCATGCCTAGCCTGCGAGCAAGATCCCCGGGGCTCCTCAGTTTCCCCCTTGCGCAATAGCACCCCGGAGAGCTTGCTCGTAGGAAAAACCTCTCTTCTTTCCGTCTCTCTGAGCTCTGTTGTCGCAGGCTAGCTAGAGCATGCTGCTTAGCTACTTACCAGTCTACTACGCAGGCAGCCTCTCTTTGTAACACAAAGCGCTGTTACGCATTAATTAACTACGTAATGACACAAAGAACTGCGGTGGTTAAGTAGAGGTGATTAGGTGGTAGATCATTGTGGTCATGTAAAAGAAGTCTCGATTACAAGCTTCTCACCTTAAAAACTATTATTATTATTATTATTATTACTATAGTTTTTATTTTGCGACAGCTGGTACTGTTTGTAAAAGATTTCCTTTTTCTTTCCTTTCTTTAAATTTGTGTCTCTTACCCCGCCTCGATTTGGCTCTCCTATACCCGGGTGGAAGCTATCGTGAAATTGTAAAATTGAAATTGAATGAATAAAGTTGAATTATTATTATTATTATTATTATTATTATTATTATTATTATTATTATTATTATTATTATTATTATTATTATTATTATTATTTGTAATGCTTGAGGAAGAACCTGTAAAACCCACTCTTATCCGCAAGCATTTGCCAGCTTTCGTGGGGAGGGTACTCCTCTATTTAGTAAAGCAAATTCTAGAATCAATTTTCTATCTTTCCTCAGACCCAGAAATATCTGTGGGGTGAGAAAGGATGAAGGCTTTTTTTGCTGTTCTAGACACATTCAAACCACGACAAACTTGTAACTTAACACGGTTTATAAAGAATTTCTTATCATGCTTAACTACATTAAAATGACCATACAAGTAGTTGTTGTTCAAGAAAAGCCAGGCTAGACTTTCATGAAAAATCCGTTTTGAGTTGTAGGAGCCGATTCGGCTGCTGTTATTGGTTAATCGTTCAGGAGATAAAGCTTTCGTCGCTTAAAAAAAGTCGACACCTTAGCGGGAGTCGAAGTGATTAGACAATAACATACCGTATGCTAAAACTTCTGGGGGGAGGATTAGGGAAATATGCAAGTATCAGTCAGATTCCTTTATTTATGATATCGTTCAAACCACCTACCCAACCCTAAGTAAATTTCATCCGGATGTCCCAAGGACCCCACCCTGTGATTCTAGGGCTTCCTTGTGTAATTGAGCATTTCATTCATCAGGCATCACACAACTCCAGCTGCACGTAGACAACACAAACACGCGCAGAATATTGTTCCACATCACCTCACCCATAGCAAAGATGTCTGAACCAACTCAAGACGAAATGGATGGTAACTATGTGATTTCATTAATTTTCTCTTCAAATTATCGAAGTGAATTTTTAGGAATTTAATTTTTACCTTATTCGTAGAATACCGAGATGCGTTCGCCCTCTTTGACGAGCAAGGAGACGGTAAAATAGACTGCAACCAGATCGGCAAGTTGCTACGCTCGTTAAATCTTAACCCCGAAGATGAAGATATTCGCAAGATTGAAAAAGATGTCGGTAAGTCATAAGTCCGTTTTACTTATCAACCTGACTTGGTATGCGCTTCAACAGTGCTCTTCAAGTACGTAGCACTTCTCAGGATTAATATTTTGGGGATCTTTATACTACATCAACATTCACTCTTTTTGTAGTAGCGCCAGCGATGATTAAAATATGTTAATAATTTCGTATAGCCGATCCATTTAATCTCTCTTCTCGTGTAAAGATAAATTTTGGCTAACTATCTACTGGAGATCAGAGAAATGGGAAATGGGTTTGAGCTACTGCGATTGTACAAGAGACACTCAGACAGAGGCGCAGCCAGGGTTATTCTATATGTTTATACTGCCTACTTTCCTTCCTGTGTCAAAGGATTTAAAGGTCTTTTTAAATGTTTCACTTACGTTATTTCGCAACAAACTTTCTTATATTGTCACGCAAAGATATCAGTCGGTAAAATACGTTTGTGATCATATATTGGACTGTGAGCGTAAACCGAAAAATCGTTGAGGCATTTTTGTAGCCAGCAAAAAGACACAACTATTCTTTGAAATGTGGTTTTAAAATAACAAATGAAGACAAAAAAGCCATCAAATGCACAATGGGTGTGTTGTTATTTTGGTAATATATACATCTGTGGACTTCTACAGAAGATCATTTTGATTTACTTTTCAGAGTAAGGTTAAAGTGATCATAACTTTGCCTAATTCCTTCACGCTGATGAGCACCAACGTTTGCTTAATTGAACATGTGCTAAAACAAAATCGCCGAAATAAAAAAAAATGGATTACTCGGTTATAATTGTGTAGCATGATGTAGAACACAAATAATTTCAGAGATTATGTTTCATGCACGACACTAAAAAATAAGGTTTTCTGGTATTAAGTTGTACTGTCCGAATTTAAATTATTAAGACACTGCCTCCGGGCATCGATAGTGCAAATTAGAAGGATGATCATTAAAACAGCCATTGTTTAAAACTGGCAGTAATTTGTTATGACCTGCTGTAAAATCTTATCTTTCACAATTGATTGCTTTTGGTAAGGTCTCGTTTGAAAACGTATCAGTGTTTCTCTTTTGTTGTAGACATTCAAGCCTCCAAGGAGAGAACACCTAAAATGAGTAAACAGCTTTGTGTAGTCTGGCTATTTTTAAGGAGGCTGCCAGTCGTACCCCTTCAGTAATCGCCTTAATTGATTTGCGGCGTAATCTTGAAATTATCTCGCATACAGGGCAAAATTTAAGCAGGCAGAATGATTTCGTACAAAGTAAGTCTTGTACTTTGCTTTAAACAACTGTTAAACTACCTTGTTCTTTTTCACTGATGGAATGTAACCTTTGCCTAGTCGTCGGGTTGGAACCGAAAGAAAATATATCTCTGTCATCAGGATCATTTTTGTTGAAGTAGTTTGTTATGTTTCCACGCATATTTGGCGTGTTCGCTTGCAGGGCTATCGCTCCTGGTTCTTAGTAACAGGAAGAAGGCTCAACGTGAAAAGCGAAACCTCCCGTTTAAAACATTGCGCCGAGACTACTTCTGAAATTCCAAGAAGCTCCTCGGTTCTAGGCAAAGTCATTGACGATTTTTATACCTTTAATAATTTAACGCGAACATAAGATTCCACGCAAGAAACGTTGACGAAGATGTATTTGTACATAGACTGCAAAACAGTCCGAGTGCGTATTCAAGTACGCGTGAGCAGTCAAACAAATAGGCCTGTAACGAGGCTGAAAACAGAGAGCGAGCCCTACGGGCGTGTGAGGCTCGCGCGCTTCGGGCGCGTTAGACTCTCGATTTCTTAACTGATTTTGGGAAAAAACCGACTGTTTTGCAATCTTATTTGCACGTGGAGAAAGTTGAAACTGGACTGTGATCATTTAGCATTGAAAGAAGTTTAAGTTCCTTTTCTTTTCAGGAAATCGGCGCGTTTCGTTTGAAGAGTTCCTGTCTATCTTTATGAAGGAGAAAAAGAACAGCAGAGAAGTGTCTGTACAGGAGTTTATAGACACTCTGAACGTGTTCGATAAGGACGGCGCCGGCAAAGTATCATCCGGGGAACTTCGTCACGTGCTAACGGCATTGGGTAAGTACGTGCCGTATTTATTCGATTAAACGCCGCAGCGTTTTTATTAAATTTCTAACGTTTCCAATGCGGCGTTTATTCAGGGGCGGCTTTTATTTCGAAATCACTGTTTTTAAAAATCACTGACAACAGTAATTGTAAATCGTTTGTAAATATTATGTAATTTAAAGGTTCCAATGACTCCCTTATTTTGCTAAGATAGAATCGTAAATGTCTGGATGGTGAAAAAGGACCAAGTTGTACCGAAGTTTTTCTTATTATCCTCGAGTAAACGCCGCACTGACTTCTTCTGATTAAGTGCAGCGTTTATTGGAGGGCGGCGTCTATTGGTAATTTTGCTTCCATCTGCGGCGTTTGGTCGAGGGTGGCGTTTATTCGAGGGCCGCGTTTAATCGAATAAATACGGTATGGCGCGAAAATATGGGCCTCGTATGGCGAATCAGTTGTGTTGAAATTTTTTTTGGTTTAAATGTATTTTTCTTTGTTTCAAACTTATTATTCAGACATTGCCTGAAGACAGAAGAGAAAGAAAAGCCGAACATAAACTTAGTCTTTGCCGTGTATAAAGAGCCTTCCTTCTTTCAGTTTAGCTAAAAAATGTTCGGGAATATTTCCCGGCGCTAGTTTACGATCAAGAACTGTATCTTTCTATTCCACTAAATGCGTTTATTCTCTCTCAGTTTGCGTTCAATGTTACACTCTCAATGTTTTTTCCATTCTAAACTAGAGCTCTAAATACATCAATGACTTATACTTTGACAAAAGAGAAATACAATAATGCTGCGGCTAATTCTTGGCTCGCTAAGGTCTATTGTAATGCGTAGCTCTCAATCTAGCCAAAATTGTTCATTGTTTCCCTTAAATCAGTACGTGATCTATATTATCTATGCAACCCGTAAGTAAATGTCACGCAGTGAAAAAAATAATCGACATTCAGTACTCGAGTATTGTTTGAAGAGGTTCAATTCATTTCTAATTTACGAGAAGGCAGTCATCAAGGGTCCCATATCCCAGGGGTATTAGAGTCCCATTCCGGCGCCACTTTTGACGCGAGAATGAAACTTGACGGAGTTAACTTTTGCGCAGACTTCTGGGACTGTTGCTAGGGTCCGGGCGAAAAATAAGCAAATAGTGCAATGAAATAGTGTCCCCAGTAACGATCCCAGAAACAATACATGTCAGGAGCTGATTAATCGGCTCCTGTACATGTAGAGTTCTCAAGTGGTGACGTCATAAAAATTAAATTTGTGAAATTATGGGAATTGTCAAGATATTTTGAACGAACAACGTCCAAGACGCCTACTTGCCAAAAATTAGCATTGTGGGGCAAATTGTCTCTGAGATATCAGCCCAGTTATCCTCTGATGACTCCATACTTGACTTGGGTCTAAACGTTCAGACCATCAAAGCGTAACTGGGCTAATATCTCAGAGACAGTTTGCCCCACAATGCTAATTTTTGGCAAGTAGGCGTCTTGGGCGTTGTTCTTTCAGGATATCTTGACAAATCCCATAATTTCACAAATTTAATTTTTGGTGACGTCACACTTTAGTACCCTATTGCAGCGTTCCATGTCCGTTCTCGTTTCTAAAGTGGCCAATTAGATTCTTGTGGACAAATGATTGAAATGACGAACAAAGACCAACCTCGTTCCCAACGCTCTTTATTGGAAGAAGCCCCGGGGATTTCCCCAGTAGCAATCCCAGATGCAGAAACAAGTGATGGACGCATTTCGGCTCCAGTTCCCTTCTCTTGTTTCTAAAATGGCGAATGCCCAATAACACAATACAAAAAATGCCTCGGACGTTCGACCGCTAAGGACCTGTGTATGACTGAAACTAAGACTTGGTCATCTCACAGGGAACCCAAGTAGTAAGTACAGTAGCGAACAGTACCAATTTAAGCACTAAAGCAAACGTACTAAGTCCACGGTATGGCCAGTACCTTACGCATGCACACAGCCATATCATCCCGGTAGTGGCAGCTATGGACGGATGCCGTTAGAGAACTGCCGTTTGCGGTTCCCAACCAACACCTAACACTTGTCTACGGTGGAGCTAGCCCTTAAAGGAGTATTTTGCACTCGCCTCGGCAGTAAAAGGCCTCTGAGAAAGGCGCACTTTGTCCTTACAGAGGTCCGATGGCTTTGCCATACATATGAGTTGCCATGTGTACTTCAGTGCTTAACCCCCGCCATTGTACTACATTCTTTTCTTCGTCTTGTAGGCAACAAGCTTAGAAATGGCGAAGTCGATGAGCTGTTCAGTGACGTCGGGGAGTACCACGGATTTATTCACACAGCAGGTATATGTCTAGTTTCAAACCGAGGAGGGCTGGGTACCAGTAACTTCTCCGAGGCGCTCTGGCGGCGGGGAGGAAAAGGAAGGAGAGCTTGCAACTACATCTCTAGAATTTGAATTCCACCCCCAATTCCCTTGTGGCTCCCCGTCGATTGAGCTGTCAGATTTCCACCAATCAGCGCGAAGTGGGAACGAGCGCGAACAAAAATTGAAAAACACGTGAAAGTACGCGCCAAGGCTAATGGCGTCATTACTAATCTCATCTCAGCCAATCAGCATTGCGTACTCCTGCAAACTGATAGCAAACCAGATAGCAGACCAGCAAACAGAAGTCCCAGTGACATCTTATAACGTTAACCGTTTTACTTTTCTTTTCATCCCCAGATTTCGTGAAAATGGTCATGTCCAACCCATAGCCAAGAAAGGAGACTCGTGTATAATAGCAGATATATAAGTTTTTAAAATACGGCATTTACTCAAAACAGCGCCCTTGACTCTAACACCTCGCCTTTTTAAAGGATAGACCTAAAGAATTCTTCTAAATGCACATTAAAACTTGTCTTTTTAAGGAAAAGAGTACTTTTTTTTTTCAATTTTTTAATGAGACAGCAGAGAATTTAATAAGAATGGTGGCAATTTTTCGGGTTTGTATAGAAATCGGCCAATGTAGCTGATAAAACAAGGCTTTCGATTTCCCTACGATAACGTAAAAAAATGTATGGCATTGTATGGCCGGTATGGTGCACAACGATAGCCCTCGAACAAATTTTAGAGCGGTTTTCACTTGACTGTCGTAAAACCAAAACCAAAGTAAATACACTAGCCAACCAAAGGGCGTAGTAAAACCAAAACCAAAACCAAAACCAATCCCTTTCGACAGTCAAGTGAAAACCGCTCTACCAGCAAAAGAGGTTTACTTTACGCCAGTAACGTCCAGTAAGTTACCCACGGAGCCCAAGAAGGAGTTGATTTTGTACAGTGCTGGCCGGGCCACTTCGGCGCAAGTCGAATCGGCCATCTTTGGATTCTCTCCTTGGGCGAGTTTCATGAAGTCTTCTGAATTCTTTCGCTAGCTGGGGAAGTTTGATTGGTTTCCATATCCAGGGCAGTTCAATTTCTAAGAGCCTAGAGGGTTTACTTACCTTTGGAGTTCGAATTTCGTGGATAACGAGGTGTTAGAATAGAAGCGATGGCGTCTGAGATATCATCTCTTGCCACCTACCCTGTCAATTAGATTGTATGGAGGGAGAATTTGAGCATACTCTTATGAAACTTTGTGTCGGCGTTAAGAACAAAAACAACTAAGTGCAGAAGAAGTTTCATTGAGTTTTATTTGGTATTCCCAACAAATTTTAGGACCGCAACTTTACCCCATGCAAACAATCCAATTTTACAGGAATCGTACGGTTTTGTCCCCACTATGCGTCATTGTTGATAGGATAAAGCTCCAAACAATAGCCTTCAGATTTAGTACTTTCGCTTGCAATTACTCAAAGAGTCTTTCACTCTCTTCATCGTAAACAGCCTTGGTTGAAAGAGGCGGGCGCAAAAAGCGACTGGAAACCAAAAGTATTCTTGCCTTCATAAACATCCGCTGCCAAAGAGTTATCCCAACCGTCTCATTCGTATGAAGAGTTTCAATAAGCAACCTGGTTACTAGTTTCCCCGGCTCTTTTGCCGTCCCAAGGACCTGGGAAGGAGCTGGGGTTAATCCGTAAGCTGTGACTTGGTTTACACTTGGAGTGAACGTCTGCTCCTTACTAGAATCAGCGTCAAAGAGAAACAGCTGGAATGAGATATTGAAGGGAAAGGTCTTCATGAAGCAAGAGGAACTGAACAGCTTTCCCATGGACGATATCTGAGAAAAAATTACCGACAAAAACAAAATTTAAATTTTCACTGTCAGATATTCAATGGAACCAATGGAATGACAAATATGTGAAGCTTCTATAAAAATTACAAGCACAGATAAATAATTATTAACCTATTAGGACCTGGGAACGAGGTAACGTGACAGCAAGGCTTAAACCTAACAGAATCCACGACTGCGTGACAGCAAGACCTGGCCGTACAGATCCGAGCTGGCTTGACAGTAAAGGCGGATTTCCACTGTCGCGTAATTTTAACATACGTACGCACTAAATTTTGCGGCAATTTATGAAGAGTCGCACGTAAACGTAAAAGATGAACCTCACTCAACTTTGTCGTTCAGGCGCGACCTTTCATACTTTGCCTCAATTTTATTTACGTACGTAAATTTTACGCGAAAATGGAAATCCGCCCTTAACGATAGAAACCTACAGAGTGGAAGTTCGAGTTGTAAACGTAACCACGGCATTCAATGGTGGAAAAAATATTATGTACTTACTGCATATGACTTTACTTGGGTTAACTTGCTGCCCGTGAAGAAAAGTCGCCAACTTTTTTATATCGACTCTAGCCTCTGCCATCTTGTCAGGATCACGGTTGTGGTGTTGCGAAGAATCGCCTTCTACAAAATTAATTCAAATAAACAATAAGCCGATTTTTAAAATCACTGGCAAATAAACTTACCTCCACTAAGGTACAGTAAAACGGGCAACAAAAAACATGCAACTTGTTTTTCAACATTGCTACAAAATGAGTTGAAGAGCGATGTTGCGCGTTTTACCATCCACATCAAACCTGTCTGGCAACAAATCAGGTTGTTACCAGGTTTCTTCTCGGATAAGGACGATAAACCGTAGGCCTCGTCTCACAAGCCCTTGCACATGTAATAAATCTGTGGGACGTTAAAGAACCCACACACTCTTCGTAAAGATTAAGACACGTAGTGCCCGGTGTAGTGGTCTATCTCACTTTCACACTCATGTATGGGGGCATCATTACTCATTCCTTCATTACTTGTAAACTGCGCCTTAAGCAGTCTGGCAAAAGTCCCCCAACCAGTGTTGTAAATTATCCCTGAAAAGCCCTGAGGGGAGTGGATAATAAGATATTTACAATTTACAGTTTGAACGTGGGTGGTAAAACGCGCAACACCGCTATTCAACTCGTTTTTCAGCAACGTCGCAAAACAAGTTGAACGTTTTTGTTGCCCGTCAGTTTTACTAAGAGCGCCTAGTAAAACTGGTCAGAACTGGCTGATCGGACCTTTATTTTGACAACGAAATGGGCATTTTAGAGCGTTAAAGTTCTTCTACTGCTTTGCGTCTGATTTAAGAAGAGTTTGATCTGGCTGATCTGTCTTAACACAGGGGCACCCAACGTCCATTTTCGGAAAATATCTGTTCGGAAGACGATTAGAGATCTAGAATTTTCGGAACATTTGTTGTAAAATTTCTTGCTTGCCTGCCTCTCCTAGGATTTTCGAACATCTGAAAAATGGTATAATTGCCGATTTTTAACGGATTTTAACTCTTAAAACGGTCACCTAGAATTTTTGGGAGCCTTTTTTCTTGCTGAAAATTTCGAAAAAGTAAGTTTTGATTTCTATAATTTTCGGATCACTAGACTTTCAGCTACGAAATCCGAACAGATGAAAAATGTTTAGGGGATAAAAAATATGCCTATGTCTACCGTTTATATACTAACATACGTTCAACAATGCTATGTTTAAGTGGTTTTGAACTATATTCTCGTTGGGTGCCCCTGTTAACAGTGGAATTCTTTGTGCGAACTTGGGAACTGGTCTGGCCGGGACGACTATGGCAGGCCCCTTAAGACTTTTATTCCACGGGTACCAAAGGTATCAGTTTCAAAATATTCCCTGACTTTTTCCTAACACATTAGGATCATTATAAGTTTCTGGGAAACTGCCCACCTACCCCTCCCCTAAGCCAAAATTTTGCCCTAAGCTAAGTAAGAAGTAAGTGTTTTAAAATGTTGGCTTAGGGGAGGTGTAGGTAGGCAGTTTCCCAGCAACGTATAATACGTTTAAAGTAAAAATTTCCCCACCAAATATACACAAAATGTAACATACAGTAGCAACCTCTAGCTTCTTATTACACGGTTTTTTTTTCATTTTGCGTCCATTTCTTTGAATATAAAGTATCCGTATTTTTGAAAACGGACACTTTTTTCCGCCTTCCAAACCTCTGCGTCTACATGTTGCGTTTTTTTTATCATTTTCGCTCGTCCACACGAAAACGCAATAATGAATGAAAAACGGTTCGGTACAATCTTTGACTGGAGCATGCGCATTTACTGGTATCCAACACTGTGACGTACATGCAACCGTTTTCACAAACCCTTTGTTTTCACCCACTCACATGGAACAGCAAACGGCGTTTTCAAAACTTTTCTCTCTTGACAGTAGTTTTTAAAAGATACGTTTTCGGTGACCGTTTTCAATAGATACGTGTGGACGGAAGGCCAAACTGGAGAAAAAAATCTCCGAGTTCGAGCAAAAACGGATACGTGTAGACTGTCAGTACCGTTTTTAAACAAGACGACTTTACCGCCTCAGACAAAAAACGGTCATTTCTGAAGGAAGGTGAGTGACGTTCGGATAGCCTGTGTGGTAGTCATTAATCGAGACAATTAGATAAATACTACAGTCAATCCTGTATCAAGCGGTCATTTCCCAAGTCTCGACACCTAAATTACTTCCCTTTATTACAGTAAAAATGATCTGTATTAAGCGGTCGCGGTCACCTCTTCCGAGGTCTCAAAGAGTTATTTTTTATGTCTTCACTTGCACGGTGTACGGCATTTAATTTTCTTTTTCTTCCCTACGTTTCACAAGCAGAGGTAGAAACAAATGGAAGTCAATTTATCATGAGATAGATATTTCGCTCTTTCACCATTTTCATTTTCTTGGATAACTCTTAAGTTTATCAAACCTGTATGAAGCGGTTAAACTGTAATACGCGGGTATAAGCCCCCAACGGTGACCTCATAATATTAATTAAAGGTACACAATTCCAAATAGATTAAGTTTTTTTCTGCAACATACCCCAAGTAGGCGTGTCCAGGTGCTTGAAATGGGTCTTAACTGTTACCGAGTCAGTCTCAATTCCAAGAGTCATATAACCATTCTGATTGGCGGACAGTATCTACCAATGAAAAACAGTTTTAAAACAATTGAGCAAATTCTATTTGGAGGGTAGGATTATTGCGGTACGCGTAAGGAAAAAAGTAGGGTAAATTATAAATTAAGAGCAGTTATAAATTGATACAAGTCAGTAAGAAATACAAACGCTGACCAGAAAATTGCTGAGGTTCTTCATTCTCTCAGTTACATTTTTTACCACTTTCATTGATGGCATGTAGATGCTTACCTAAAAAACAACAAACACTGAGTAAGCATAACAGTGAGAAAAAACAAAGAACAAATAAAACCTCTTTGGTTGCACTGTTGCATAGTACTGTTTATTGCTTAGCATTTAACACAGGGAAATTTTATTGCTTGCATACACTTCTTCTTTGACCACACACTATGCACAAAGGAACACAGGGATACAAAATGACTGGTAATAAAGCCCTCTATAGGGAGGGTAGCCTGTATTGCAGGGGGGTCATCGGAGGGGGAGGTAGGAAAGGAAAGTACTTTACCCATTCATGTTTTTCTTTCCCTCCCCATCCCCATTTTTGCACCTGCCATGCAAGCTAAAGGAGGGGAAATGGTGAAACCTAGCAACACTATTTCTTGTGTGACAGCCCAAAATAATCATGGAGTCGTCATGGAGCCAACTCAAAGATGCGATACTGAATACTCACATCAAAATCAGGCATGGCTGGTTCTTCATATTCTTCCCAGTTCCTCTGAGGAATAACACCAACTGGTACATCATGTACCACACTTCTTGTGTGACTGGTAAGGGATGGCTGAAAAATAACAATCAAGTAGAAACATGAGGGTAGTTAAAATATCTACTGTCAAATGATAGTGTGCTTTCTACTTGGCTAGATTCTCCTAGAAGACTAAATTTTTCTTCCCTGTGAAACAAAAAGAGAATTTCAAATATGATCAACAGTTAGTAAGGACCTTATTCTTTTCATAGTCCCCTGACTCAAATTACACTAGTCTTTTTAGACCACTTTCATTTTGTATTACTTCAAATTCATGGTTGTCAGTAAGTACCGGGTAATCTACTTGCATTTTATTGACAGCCTTATCGGCATCCAATTACTGTATGTACAAGTACACTGAATGAATAGCTGTCGAATTGCAATGCCGGTTTTATAACAGCTTGCATTTACTTTAGAAAGCCAATTTTCAGGTGACTGTCTAAAATTATTTTCATAAATGTTGCAATTAGCTACATGTATAATGTTTTGTATGGTAAAGTTTCTTGATTCCAGGGTATGCAGTCCTATCACTTTTTTCAAAGTAACATATTATGGTATTTTTCTCCTTTATTAAAACCACCATAAAATAACTAATTATCACGAGTTTTACAACTTAAAAATTGTTAGATCCACGATTCACTTTATGGCCTTTCAACCTGTGATAATTTTTAGGGTCATATATCCCACTTTAACTTTGGCATGACAGGGCTAAAAAGACCTTGAATTCTAGCTTGTCCTTTGAGCGATCAGCTCTCACATTTTGCTTCATTGGGGCCACTTCTTGCATGTCTTAGTTAATGATTTTGTTAAAGGATGACATGCCTAGACCCTTCCCCACTGAACAAGTTGAAAAGTTACTTGAGATAGGTAATGTGTTCAGCAAACCTGCAAGGGGCTTATTGCACACAACCCACTCATTATGTACACATGTATACATGTAGGTTACAGGTAAAAATTATATTCCAGGTCAAAATCTTTTAACCTAGGTTGATTCTCAATTTCCTATATCTCCTAACCGTGATTATTCTTGAATTTGGGCTAGGAGATAAAGCGGTGAAAGGAAAATTAGAATCAACCTAGGTTAAAAAATTTTAACGTGAATTTAATTTTGACCTGTAACGTATACATCAGTCACAATGAAAATGAGTTCTTTGTCTCGGAATCTAGCATTTGAGTTTTGTAACAAAATTTATTGTTGCAATGATGGTCATACACTACAAGTTGTCAATGTATTATGGAGCTTACCAAAGTAATCTCAAATGTCAGGCATGGGGTATGTTTCTTTGCCAGCTTTATTTTCACTGCTTGTGCACTGGCAGCTGATTTCATTGCCCTTGTGAGATTTTCTGGCATTAACTCAAGATATATGTTGTTGGTTTCATCTTTCCCTTCAATGCGATACTCATCAAAGAAATTACTCTGAAATCAAAAACAAATGAAGAACATTCTTTAAAATCATTTACATATTAAGAACATTGTCAAACACAACGGGGAACCATGCTGAGCAGAAACAGCCTGAACTTTATTACCTGAGTGACAGAGCACTTTTCATTCTGTTCCCCAACACAAATGTACATCCAATCATTAATAGCAATTAAAGAACTACCAAAAATGCATGTTTCATTTAAATATTCAGGCTATATGGACTGGGTAGCTCAATTTGTTGAGACAAAAACTTCTAAAAGGTACATGTAACCCTGCATTTCAACCTGGCAAGACCAACTGTTAGTTACTCAACCTCTCGCCTCTGCAGAGGCTCCCACTGGATATCCCAATAAAAATAGCCTTGGTCCCTACAACACAAGGAGGCCTCTGCTGAGGAGGAGAGAGGTACTTAACCCTTTAAGTATTAACCCTTTAAGTCCCAGTAGTGACCAACAGCAATTTTCTCCTAACAATGTCCATACATTGTCAAGAGATAAGGTTGTGAGAATATAAAAAATGATCACGAAAGAGAAAATGCCTTGATGTTTTATGAAATTCTCTCAACTAATTCTTAAAGGAAATGTATGGAGATCAGTTTGGAGAATTTGTATGTGGATATTGGGGCTTAAAGGGTTAAGGGGGACCAGCAGTAACTTCGTCTCAACAATACCAATACATCATCAAGAGGAAAGGTTCAAAAATGCTCTGATCATTTTTCACATTCCAGGATTGTCAAAAGTAGACAGCTGCTGGCAAAAACCACTGCCTACTTCGTTAGTATCGGCCAGCTACTCCGTTTGGCATTTTTTTTACAGATGACGTTTATTAAATAAAATATCCCTCGACTGGCTGCTTAAACAAATCAGTCGTCTACTTCAAAACTTTCTGACAACCCTGCACATTCTCCCCACTGATTCCTCATTGAAGGTAATTTGTGTGGAGATAAGTCTGGAGATTTTAAATGTGGATACTGACGATTAAAGGCCTGCAGTAAAATACTGAGTAGACAGCGGAGACTTTATAACACATTTGCAGAACAAATGTGTTCTTAAAATTGGCTATTTTTTCTGTTATTGTGGGTAGGGTGGGTGGAAGGGTTCAACATCAATGTGGATGGGATGCAAGAAGATCTAAATGCAGTCCACAGATTTGACAGAAAACTAAAATTCTACTTGTGGTATGCGTCCCATAGGACGCAAAGATTGATTGATCAATCTGAAGATGTTTTTGTAGAACATCCTGTTTGTGTGATTTCTGTGGCTGTTCTTGTGCTGTTGTTAAACAATGCTTACGGTCTGTCTTTCTTTTGGTCTTTGTTGTGCTTTACAAAAGAAAGAGTGTATTTTTACTTCAGTAAAGTGTAATACTAAGTTAGGAGTCTGTTTTCAGATTAACTGTGTGGTTACAACTGGGACTCAATGATTCTGGACTGGGACTCATGATTTTTTCACAAGATGAGTCCCAGGACTCACCATAACTATTTGTGACAAAATCACCGGAAAGGTATACAAAAAGGGGTACCTTTTCTCTCAAAAATGGTCTACAGCTATTTTGAGAAAGGTTGTCGGAAAAAATGTGCACGTGACAATCCCAAAAGGTAATATGGGATATGATCAATACACTGTTCCTGACGACTGTAGCTGTCAGCTGCCTACTTTTGTTACTTTCCTTTAGCACTCGCAAACACATTTCCATGGCCTTTTGTGCCATTCTTTCAAATTTCTTTGAAAAAAAGAGAACTCAAAACCACCCACAATGCCTTTCAGGATTGTCGCGTGCACTTTTCCCGACAACCTTTCTCGAAATAGCTGTATAATATAAGCCTAAGGGTAAGGGGTTGGACCTCCTAACTGCACAAAGTTTAACATAAAGCAAGCAAAGTTGGACAGGATCAGATAAATCCCTATAACCTATAACTCACAAAATGACATACATAGTTTATCAATAGCTATTAACCTGTGTTAATTCACACCAGATTGACACTCCTCCAACAGCAGCATTGTCAGTCAGAATAAAGTACAACTTTGTTGGTGTCAGTCGTAGGGCACACATCTTTGCCATGCGGGATATGGTTCCTAGCACCCCTGTAGCACCAAAAATAGATACATGTGGTACAATAATGTTAATAGATCTTGTTCAATGCATACAGCAAAATCATAATCCTCTGATTTCAATGACAAGGTCAGCATTCATCTTTTACTGAACAGATGTAAAGTTTCCACTTTCACATTATTCTTTTATCACCAGAGCTTAAGACCACACTCTCATATTGCTAGTATAGTGACCTCATACAAAAAGTTCTTCAGTCTGTCTTCAACAGACAAGTCATTAAACATTTTAAGGTACAAAAATGTACCTAGTTGATTGCACAATGCTAACTGATACCTCTGAATCCACAAACAGGCAAAATGAAGAGAATCTTTTAATCTGATTGGCTACCCAAGACCCATCTTGCCCACTCAAGATTTCCCACATTGGTCTTGCAAGACAAAGTTCTCCTTTTAGCCATCTTTGACCAAGTTTGTTCAGTCAATCTGACTGGATATTAACCTTGATATTTCTTGCCCTTTTATCGACCTCGACTTCAACCTGGTCCATAAAAACACAAAAAAGGACTTGACCGATATCCAGCCATCTTGACCTCCTGCTTGTTCAATAACGCAGATGAACATATATTATAGCAATCTACATTTTTGGGAGTATTTTTACTAAGTTCTGAGTTCATTGCCTTTGTGTAGATAAAGAATGTATGCATGTGTGATCACAAAGTTTGAAAGAGCACTTTTTCACTCTCCAGATGATAACTATAAAAATACGTGGTGTGAAATGAGACGAAAAGAAAACAAAGCAAATAAAGGTTGCATTTTACAATGCAGGGTAAATCCTACAAGAGACATGTGATTTTTGTCTTAACAATATATCAATACGTATTCAAGAGGATAATGTAAAAAAGAATGCAATATTGTTAAATTATTCTAGTACAAGGTTTTTGACGGATGAAAATTGAAGCCTACTCAATTTTCTGATGGATTCCGTCTTAAGTCCTCCAATTCAAGGCAGGTAGAAACTCCTCAAGCACCAAATTTACATACTTACCAGACATTATTACACAAAAGGCATTGTTTTCCCTTGATCTGGTTGGAGTTTTCTACCTGCTCCCTACCCCCATCCTAGATTCCCTTTACAAAATCCACTTCATCAGGCCTCAATCACCCTGCCTAGCTTATAAAAAGCGGTAAAGAAGGCTAAATAATGTGTACTAGACCAATGTAGGGAAAACCAAATATTACATTATTTTTGCATATTTTTGATGTACAGTGAATGATGTTTAATTTCAAACATATTTTTAAATAATCTTTTCCATTTAAAGTTTCACAGTGACTTTTCTTTTTCTTTCAGCTCTGCGCAAAAACTAATAGTTTCAAAAAATTCTTGTCAAGACTGAAGCTTTGAGATAAAAAGCTTCAGAACAACAGTCCATACAAAATTCAAAATTGAAGTCTTCAAATGGTTACATGGATTGCATGAATACAACAATTGCTGCTGACAGAAATAATTTTAAAGTAACATTCCAAGTAGCATTTTGAGGTCCTATTAGACCGAATTTTGAATACGATCATGTGGCATTTTGAGAAGTAAGATATCTAACTGACGGTGTTTTACCCATCTTTATGTCATTTGCAGCCATTTAATCTGGTTTTATGTTGCTGTTTCAAGGCCTTGTCACTTGTTGGAATTTTACCCAAACGGGGCCTCCAAGATTGTATAGTTTTAGGACAGTCCAATACAGTAGTTGTAACTTTCAAGGTTTTTTTTACCAGCTTTCCTGGACACACACCTGCCCAGAGGGAATGGGCACGAACGAGTCTCAAAGATCCCATGCAAGGTGCCATCCTTTGCCAATCCCACAACGCGTGAAGGTTGGCCACACAACTAAGGTCAATCTCCCCTACTCTTTTCAAACAGTAATGTGGGTTCTTTTACATCCCACAAGAACAGATCAGTGAAAGTGCTGTGAGATGGGACCTATGGTTTTTCATGCTTATCTGAGAAGACTAGAACGTCTTACCATTTGAAGTTGTCATTACAAAGGCAACACCTTCTTCTTGGTTAGTTAAAGACCCTGAGTGTTTGTCCAGCTAGGGTTTGAACCCGTGACCTCCCGCTCAGAAGACCGGCACTCTCCCAACTGAGCTAACCAAGTGACAATTTTAAAAGGTTTTAAGGTTGGCCCTTTTTGGATGGACTATTCTAAAGCCATTGTTTAGACGACAGATTGGTTATGGAAATTACCCTATTCAAGCTTTCTTTTCGCAGCTGCATAAGTTGCATAATTAACTGTGATGATCTTCTCTGCATTTAAGTAATTTCTGAATAAGGTATAAAGTCGATAACTTTTACAATGTGCAAAAGTCTATCTTAATTACACAAGTGGCAAACTCTGCTAATTTCTTCGAATTCCTCCTCACTTGGCAAGTTGTGCGTAGATGGTACAAGTGTCACAGGAAATCCATCAAACAATTTGAGCAATAAATTGTGTTGACACTATTGACATGTTCACGTATTATGTCAATATTCCTTCTGGAATGCAGTGACTTTTTGGGCAGCAAAGTGTCAAGTGGATGTTAAGAAGGGGGTGGGTGGGAGGGGGGCGGGGTTAAGCGGGGAAAAGGTGAATATGTCGATGACCCCCTAACTAGAGTGACAATCTTCCCTGCTTTCATTTCTTCATCCGGTCCCACAGTTCAAATAATATCTGACATTCGAAAATCGTTCAGTTGAAAGTCTAAAAATCTCATGCATTCTGATGTATTATTAGCAGAAAAAACATTCCCATTAATGCTATACTTTACTTTTTTATGGGATTTGCGAGAGTAGAAAATCTTGTCTTACGCAATTAGCTTACTGATATGTACAGTATGTGGTCCTTGGTCCGCGGAAGTCCGCGATGCCCTTGGTCCGCGTCTTTTCCGAAAATGATAAAATACTTCGTCGAGAAAAAAAATACGTTGAATAATGAAAGATATCGTGATTTACTGATTAGCATTCTTTCATATGACGAAGTTTCAGCTTTCTTGCTGCGGGTGAAGACGCGAAATTAAAGTTTGTTGACAGGTAGGTTAATTTGTCTTTCTTGAAGTGTGGATTTTTGCGGCACCGTAAATTACATGGTCATGTTTACTTAGCCTGCAAATGACTAAAACGCAACGGGAAGACTTGCCTTTTTGCAGAACAGGTTTTCAGATCAACTTATTTCTGCTGTTGGAAGCATATTGCTGTAGACTCTGAATTTTTTGTTTTAGCGACTCTTGAAAAATATCACCAGATTTCGCTAAGCGGTCCTTGGTCCGCGACCTATCACCTTGGTTGAATAAAACTTCCCAAAGTAAAAAGCGACGGCCTTTGTTTTCGAAAAATGTTTTGAAAATCGTCCCTATACATGTCTACAAGTTCTCTTTTTTTAATACCTCGAATACATACAGAGTTTTTGGTAATTATTTTCGACCGCGCTAAAAACCGCTCGTCGACGCTCGTGTGGGAGACTCGAGGATACTGTTGTCTGAAGTCTTTGAAAGAAAAGCAGATTATTTTATGCTCACAACATTTTCCGAAAAAAACTTTAGCTTAATTGCATCAAGAAAAGAAGAAAATACAAGAAATACTGCGAAAATCACGTTTTCGAGTGGAAACTATAACATTTTTACGTTTTTATCGTGCTGCTTACCTGAGACGCGGACCAAGGACTAGATTCGCGGACCAAGGACCATCGAAAACGGTCGCCTTTTTGCGAATTCCAAGCAAAATATTTATGTCTGGAACTTGAAACTTCAGGATTATCGACAGGAACATAAAAGCTATCTTCAGGGAGTATTTCAGCTCGTTACGTGAAGATTCGGGTAAGATATTCAAGTTAATGACTTTTACACGCGGACCAAGGACCACACACTGTACTCTCGAAGTTACTTTTACCCGGATAAACATTAAAGAAAAAGTCAAACTACTTACGCGTGAAATGTTGGATGCAATTGATGTCCACAATCTTCGCTCGAAACCGCATGTTGGCAGGTTTATCAGAGGGTTTATGGAGGAAAAGTCACAAATCACTCAAAACTACCGCCATTTTGAAAATACCCACAATACATCAGGTACGTCTAGCTCGACCCAATTTTGGTCGAGGCACAGGCAGACCACCCTCTGTCTGGGCAACGATCTTTTGTTATTTATAGAAGAAATACATGTGAACAATACGGTGGCTATAATTTGTTCCAAAATGCAGAATTTAAAGCAAATTTTTCAATAAAAGTTTGAAGAAAAACTGAGTCATGAGTCAAAGAAGCCAAGAAAATGAAATGTTTTAAAAGACTAATTTTTAAACAATTTGTCCAAGTCGCTGGTCTTTGTGGCCCAAAGTTTCTGAGTTATTTGCCGAAACGTCGAGAGACGTTTCACGTACCTTTGTAGAGCTTTGTGTGGAGACGCCATATTGGTGCACCGTTTTGGTGCACCAATATGGCCGCCCGAAATCAACAAAACATCTGGAGTTCACTTTTTCTATAAAAGCTCTTTCTTTTCACTCGAGAACTAGCATACGTGCGAATAAACATATCTTCTAATTCGGATTCTAATACCTGAAATGGTTATACTGCTGAAAATCAAGAGGAGAGACTTTTTTCAACGAGACAGCATTCCTATTTTGGTGTCACGCACTGTGAATACTCGGAAGTTCAAATTGTTGTATTTTCGAAATGAAACATGCTACAGGAATGGAAACTTATACAAAGATTTACTTTTTGTTTATCTTCAACCTAGTATAAATAAGAATTCGTAAAACCTCGCTACTTTGACTGTACAATTTGATGACGTCACTATGAAAACCATCTACACAAACTTAACTTTGATTTAGCCTGCGAGCAAGCTTTCCTATTTGGGCGAGTTAAAAGAGTCTCGCTCGCGCGTTCTCGCGAGGCTCGCTTCGCTTGCCCAAAAAGGAGAGCTTGTTCGCAGGCTAACTTTGATTCTGCCGTTGTGCAGGATTTAATTAGTTAGCGGTAGTGACCCGTGTAGCATTTAAGTTCAGGTAAGTAAATACCTTGTCTGATTTTAAGGTCTCAATACGACTAAAATTATACCAAGCGAGTATTTCGACAATATTTCCCTCTACTAACTGATTTGAACATTTTGGTTTATCGCAAAATCAGTTGAAAGGAATCATGTTAAACCGAACAGAAACGCCGAAATACAATCTGAAACCGTTACAACTCTGACTAGGGTTTAAATGTCCAAGTAACTGAGGATTAATATTCCAAGCGTCGAAACTTGCTTTTTGATGCGCTTTCCTGGTATCAAAATACCCTTCAGATTATGGTCTCTCCACGGGGTGCCTTTGGAATGCCGCCAGAAATATTTTAACACAAAAACCAGCAAAGGATATGCTTCAAAACAGTACTTGTTTCATATTGAAATTTCATACATCAGCTGGGTTTTTACGATGGGGAAGTTAGGTTAAATTTGCCATTTTTGAAAAGTGCTGAAACCGTGTTCCTTCCTGCAGCCGGCTAAACGGTTTATTTAAAGTTAATTGCTGAATCATGAAGTAAAAGTGTGTGTCTGTTTTGTAATTGATTTCATTTAGAGATATTATCCAGTTATTATGTACCTGCGCGAAGAAAATGCTCAATTTTCGCTAATTTCATACTCGAAAGAGCGTCGATTTAGCAGTTTTTCAAACTTTGCCTGATTCCTGGAAAACAGAATAAAAAGCTGTTACAAGTTTTAACGTGACTTTTGAAATTAGCGTACTATGGAGATTATTTAGGCAAAATATGAAGAAATTCAAAAATTCACGACTGTCAACCGATTTTCGAAAATTATAGACATTGGCTGATAAATAGGAAAACTGACTGCTGCAATAGATAGAAGCCCAGCGTAATGAGAACATCAGTCCCCGTTNTTTTGAAATTAGCGTACTATGGAGATTATTTAGGCAAAATATGAAGAAATTCAAAAATTCACGACTGTCAACCGATTTTCGAAAATTATAGACATTGGCTGATAAATAGGAAAACTGACTGCTGCAATAGATAGAAGCCCAGCGTAATGAGAACATCAGTCCCCGTTTATTTATACAAATACAAACACTTAGGTACTGCAAAGGCAGTGAAGCAGGAACAACGAATGTAACAAGCTCTACTTAAAGTTGTTTGATCGATAATGTAATACAAATGATATCGTGTCTGCTGCCCGTCAGGAAAAACTCCCTTAGACTACGAGCAGTCTCTCTTTTTTCTGTAGTCCGTCGAGCAAAACGCGAGACACGCGAATGTTTTCTTCTCGGGCTGCCGCCCTCGTTTCTCGCGTGTCGCGGATTCGCCGCTCCCGCGCACGTGCATTGCTCTCACTAAATCTGAAGAAAAGGGAGACTGCTCGCATTCTAAAACCCCCTTAGCTAAGGAGAAAAACTGAACCCTCCTGAAAGCAGAACCTCGAGGTAGAGAGGTTGAACTAGAATAGGAAGTTTTGAATACATCAACGACGAACTACAATCAATTCAAATGACACAAACGCATTCAATCAGGCAGCGATGTCAGCTTTATAGAATGATCACCTTAGTAAAATCCCGCCCTTTATACTTGAGTCTCCGTGACAGTTGTCAATAAGTTGGAACCGTGAAAACAATGGTAGTCTTTACACTAGTTCAAGTTCAAGTTCAAGTTCATTTATTCACACTTATTCAATTACAATACAACAACAATAAGGAATAAAAAAGAAGAAATAAAAATACAGAGCTAACTATACATCGAATTAAACATAACAAAGGAAAAGAGTGTGTAGCAGCCAAAGGAGCCAAGCTTTCGAGTTGGCTACTACCACATAGCGGTTACAAGTGGGTGGAGGTTATACAGTACTACTACTACTAATAATAATAAAACTATTTAGATTAAATAATTAAATAAATAGAACTAAGTAGCAGATTAGAGTTATTCAAGATGCCTGACTATCAAGTAGAAAGAGCTTATATTCTTTTTTAAAACTATTCAAGGGGAGACACTTAATTTTTGTAGGTGTTGCTTCCCAGGTCTGTGATGCCACTACACTAAACCTTGCAAGGCCATAATTAGTTCTGGAAAACGGTCTGCACAGGTTTTGATTAGTGGCATACCTAGTATTATAATTATGGACAGCTGAAGCCGGTTGAACTAAGTCATACAGGGCAGGAGGTGTATCCTTTTTTTGATATTGAATTTTATGCACAAGAGCGCCAATTTTTAATTTAAAGATATTCTCTAACTTTAAGATTTCTAATAGTGTAAAGTACGGTGTGGGACTTTCTCGATTTTTTGTAAGTCCTTGCTTAAGAAATGCGTACGGTACATTTTCTGTTTCCTTTTTATCGATTTTAGGATACCCTTAGTGAGCCATGGCTTATTAAGTTGCCTTTGCTTGCTTTAGCTAGGCAGCCTGATAGGGATAGGCGCATGTTTGTCCACAATTTTTCAGTGTGTTGATTGCCTCCTGTACCTTTTCATTTAGATTCTTTTCTGGGTTGAGGATTTCGTACCAATCAATCAATTTTATATCATCTAAGTATAGATCTTTATTAAATTTGGAGTAGTCTCATCCTCGGAGACCCAGGGGCAGATAGTGGGGCGAGGGAGAGTCTAAACGGGAGGAAAAATATGGCGCGAAGAAAATAAAGAACGACGAGAGGAGCCCCTGGGGACAATGTCTTACCAGACCAGTTCCAAACGGTCGCCGCCGTTCTGCCTTCTGGTTGGGCAGAAAAACACACAAGTTTTCTGGCACCAATCAGAAGTCAGAACGGCGGCGACCGTTTGGAACTGGTCTGGTAAGACATTGTCCCCAGGGGCTCCTCTCGTCGTTCTTTATTTTCTTCGCGCCATATTTTTCCTCCCGTTTAGACTCTCTCTCGCCCCCACTATCTGCCCCTGGGTCTCCGAGGATGGATTATTCCGTGTAGGCTGGGTTCTGACTAAGCAGAAAATCGGAAGGTGATCTGTTATATGAACTATTAGGATTCCTGGTGAAAAATTTTGTAAAGAATTTGTATTTATATGGTCAATGAGTGTTGCTGCGTGATCAGTAAGCCTCGTAGGTTTAGTAATGATCGGCAAGATGTTATTGGCATAAAGCATATCTAAAAACTCTTCAGTTTGAGCATGTGCATTGAATTTCAGGAAATTTATATTCATATCTCCAAAGATGTAAATTTTCGTGTCCACTGGGATTAATTGTTTTGATTATATCATTTAGTTGGTTGCGAAACTGTTCTAAATTACATGTGGGATGCTTGTAGATACAACCTATTATGATCTTCTTTTTACCTTCACCAGCATCAATTTCTGCCCAGCAGGATTCAACTAGCGCTACATCAAATTTAATGTTAGTCCTAGGTACAGCTTTAAGAGCTAGAGCCTCAATAAGCTAAGAAATATTTCAAGACAAGTAAATTTTAAATTCTTCAAGTTAAAGAAAAATTAAGGTTCACAAACAACCTATCTTTTTTACTTCAGGTTTACTTAAGCCTATTTTCTCACGCAACACAATTAAGATTCATTGACATGCTTCACCTTTCTCAAAGCTTAGAAACCACAAGTTCGCCAAGTCGGTTTTAAGGATGGTTTTCAAGTTACTTGAAATTTTCTTGAATCGTTTCAACTTTCCGACTTTTTAATAAGAAGCAAAGTAAAGTTACTTGAGATTTTACTTAGGCCTTCACACACGCATTTTTGGTTAAGTAAAACTTAGCAGCTCTTAATTCTTACTTAACAGCCTAGTGTAAAGACAACCATTATGTTGTTGACTTTAATGTTTATTCTTGAGTCACCTGCTTTGTTCTTGGTTTTCCCTAAAAAGGGTTTGAAGGTGCTGTAAAACCTTCCAGGGTCGGTTCTCAGTTCATTAGATATTTCTTTTCAGCACTTCTTAATCGCTCTTCGTCTCTGAGGTGGCGATGTTTTTGTATTTGGTCTTCAATCTCCACAGAGTTATCCGTTTGGGTTTACCTCGGTGTAAAAACCTGTGAAGTTCTTCTTTGTTTTCTAGCTATTATTTTCCTTGGCTCTATTGTGCTCACTTCTCAGTGGCACGTAAATATA